ACTCATTAAATATATATTATTTAGAAGCACCTCGGTGTCCTCCGTCTACCCCTACTCTATGCGCATTTCCCAATGAATCACCCTGTATATTCAGTTTTCCCAATATTTAAACTTAGCAGACTTTCATTTAACCAGTTGTGATAGATTTTTAGTTCTTTTTCTGCGGTTCTATATAGTTCTTCCCAGGAATCGTGTATAAAGGTTATCGCTGTATCGTCTGCGTTTGATGTGACATAACTTGTTATGTTTCAATGCTCCCAATATTATTTATGTATATCAAAAATGAAATAGGTCTCAAGACAGTCCCCTGTGGGACTCCCACAGAAATATTTAAAGGTTCAATGAGTACATTAATAACTTTTACTCTTTGAATTCTGCTAGACAAATAATCTTGAATTCCAATTTCATTCAGGCTGTTGAATAATATATCGTGGTTGACAGTGTCGAAGGCCTTAGCTAAGTCAATGAACACTGTGAGACACTTTTTATTTTCATTCAAATTCTTCAAAATATTATTGACGAGGTGGAATATTGCTTTATCGGTACTACTGTTTTCTCTGAATCCAAATTGGTACTGTGAGAGTATTTTGTGCTTTTCTAGAAAAATCATGACTCTCGCTTTGACCGATTTCTCGAATATTTTCGCAAAATTATCAATAATACTAATCGGTCGGTAGTTGGTAGTTGTAGATGTCTGCGAATGTGCAATATATTCGAGTTGAATATTTATCCCCAGTTCCTTTTGCCGTCTTAGTGGTACCATTACATCAACATATGCAGGCAAGATGGACCATAAGTTCATCGAATAATTATTTTTATTCTCATCTCTTATTCGTTATACTTTTAATGCATTCGCGCACTAGTCATGAAATGAGACATCAAGTTGATGGAATCCTATTTGCCATTCCCAATACAATACCCTCGACAATACCTATAGAATACAAAATATTGAGAGATTATTTTTTCAAGTGTACTATTCTGTCTGCGTCTTTCCTGCCTATATTTCATCGACAGTGATTGTATAGCACCGGCTTTCATCATTATTTTCATCAGGATATCAAACTTTCTGAATAACTGAGCCAGAAATGCACCGTTCATATGACGTACAACGGCTTGCTTGTTAGGCAATATAATCTCGCTTTTTAAGCGAGATGAGCTTGTTTATTAGGCATGTTGATGATCTTGCTTTTCAAACAAGATGATCTTGCTCATTGAGCAATATTATATGATGTGGCTTCGGAAATAACCAGCTAAATAGGTAAAAAGTATGATGTGGCTTCGGAAATAACCAGCTAAATATCATACTTTTCATTAGTTTGATATTTTCTTGGGTAATTGCCACTTTTCGGTGATTTAAGGGTACGTGGGTCCTTATAAAATATGAACCCGACCCTTGAATAATCATTATCTCATAAGAATTTTGAAATTTTTATAAATTTTTTTTTATATAAAAACCGAGATAAAAACACAATTTTTTATTAACAATCATGGAGCAGTTGCCTTTGTTTGCTCTGTTATTGTCCACGTTATTCGAATTCCAACTTTTTTCACTTCCATAACGTTGAAATATTTCATCGGCTGATGATGGGCTTATATAAGCCCGAAACATGTACCATTGATGATCTTTGATCATTTCAATAAAAGTTGTGGAGATGACTTTGGATTTTTCATCTATGAAGTACACCACTCCACTTTGAGTTACCATGGACTTCTTCCAAAGATTGATCTATAGCTTATTGAACAAGTTAAAAAATACGCGTAATAGCCCCCCCAGAGCTTCTGTAGACAACTGATTCTTGAATTTGAGGAAACAGGATCATTTTGGTATGAATCCTACGATGTCTCTACGCCAAGGTTCAGCAATAACAGGACTTTCTCATCAAGCTATTCGTCTGGTTCTCAAACGTCATAAGTTTCACCCATTCAAAATGCACATTCTTCAGGAGTTGCCGACATTTCTGGGCGAAAGTTTCAGGCGACACAGTGATTGGGCCATTATTTTTTAACGACAATCTTGATAGCGATACTCATCACGAAATGTAATATGAATAGAAAATCTGTTGCAGATTGACGAAAATGTAGGGAACTGAATGATAATTTAAAACATTTTCAGCACGATGGGGCACCACCCCACCACGTTGTTGTCAGGCAATTTTTGAATGATGTTTTTTCAGGTCAGTGGATTGGACGGAGAGGTTCAACCGAATGACCAGCAAGATCTCCCACTCTAACACCCCTAGATTTTTGTTTCTAGAGAAATCTGTCGTATTCAAAACACAACCTAATTCAATAGGAGATCTTCGACAACGAATTATTGCAGAATGCAGATCTATTCCAAGAGATGTGTTTCAAAATGTGAAAATGGAATTTGAAAATTCATTATACTCTTGCATACAACAGAATGGGATGCATTTCGATTATCTGATGAAATTAAATTATTTTAACACAATGGGCGTGTACACCTCAGTAGAACTTTCAACTCAAACCATGTTTATAATGATCCTTTTATGCATAAATAATGATTGACGACATAATTCGATCGAAAAATTTACGGGAATGTTTTATTTTTGGATATAAATAATAGTACCTTCTGAAAACGGACTCTCTTATGACGTAGAAACTTCATCTCGCCATAGTTTAAAGAAAATACCAAACGCCCAACGGAGACTGAGGCAACTGATATATTAATTCTTTCAACTGTGATCTCGCGCTAATTCACTCTGTCAGAAATCATGTATCATTCACCTCTGTCTGGAATAGTCTTGTTTCAGTATTATGGTTTTGACATCACATCATCGCTTCGTTTTCAGAGGTCCGAAAAATCGGGGATTTCAATAATTTTTTATAAAACGTAGAGAGCTCACAGCAAGAAACGGTTCGCGGTGGTGAGCTAGTTTGAGTGATAGTAGAAGATCCGAACCTAAATCGACCTTCACCGAGCTGATAATAGAACGAAATATATTTTATCATGAATTTAGTATATTAGAAAACATATTAAAAATGGGTTGGCTAAAAAAATCCTGGGCAGACTATTTTTAATTATTTTTCGAAAAATTATTTTTAATTGAATGTTGCAACATCAGGATAATAAAAAAATTGTGTCCTGACTGAAAGTATAAAACGTATAGAATGTGCAGCCGTTGGGTTGTCTACTATTTACCTGGGCGAACTACTGGGTTGTCAGGTAAACACAGGTATATCGATGCCAGTTACTTTCACTGGATTGGATAATTTAAAAAAATTTATATCATCATAAGCGCTGTTTAATTGCGAACACGTTGATATAGGGTTGTCTGCGAAAATTCCGGTCCTATTAGGGGTTTGCGAATTTTAAAGATTTCAATTTCAACGCGCGTGGAAGTGTGTGACAGAGAGATCCGAGGTAAGTATACTGTGTAATAATAAAGGACCCAACATCGCAGTCGCTTGTGATGGGACCCTGAATAGTAGAAAGTGCGCATGCTCGGTGTGTAAACTATGGAGGGTAGAGGTACCTCTACTACCCTTCATATAGTAAACAGTGCGTGTTATTTTGGAGCAACTGATATTTCAGTAGCAAAAAAAAGTAATTAATTAATTACATAATAATTAAATATATTTAATATAATACTAATATATAAAAACAATATAATATCAATATATTGCGTTATAACCATAATGATATATCTATAATCTATAATAGACAATAAAAATATCAAATACTTACTTTGAAATTTTTTTGCTCTTTCTGGAAATAGAAACAAAGTGGACCGCCAAAAATTTAAATCAAGAAATAACAAAAAAGATAGACTAGACATCTTGTATTACGATTTAAAATTTCATTAAAAAACAGTATAAATACAAAAATAATATTAATGAAAAATAAATTCTAATAAATATTTTCTATTCAATATCTGATTCATCAGAAGTATCATTTTGACTCTCGAATTCTTCTGATTCATTAGATTCTTCCTCATTTGCTTCCATTTCGACAATGTCCTGGATTTCCAAAGGAGTTTGATCTCCGATAAAACCTGTTGGTTTTAAGAAATCATCAAAATGCCAACCATAGTTTTCAGGATTTGACTTCGCACACTTCGCACACTTTCTACTATTCAGGGTCCCATCACAAGCGACTGCGATGTTGGGTCCTTTATTATTACACAGTATACTTACCTCGGATCTCTCTGTCACACACTTCCACGCGCGTTGAAATTAAAATCTTTAAAATTCGCAAACCCCTAATAAGACCGGAATTTTCGCAGACAACCCTATATCATCGTGTTCGCAATTAAACAGCGCTTATGATGATATGAATTTTTTTAAATTATCCAATCCAGTGAAAGTAACTGGCATCGATATACCTGTGTTTACCTGACAACCCAGTAGTTCGCCCAGGTAAATAGTAGACAACCCAACGGCTGCACATTCTCTACGTTTTATACTTTCAGTCAGTACACAATTTTTTTATTATCCTGATGTTGCAACATTTAATTAAAAATAATTTTTCGAAAAATAATTAAAAATAGTCTGCCCAGGATTTTTTTAGCCAACCCATTTTTAATATGTTTTCTAATATACTAAATTCATGATAAAATATATTTCGTTCAATTATCAGCTCGGTGAAGGTCGATTTAGGTCCGGATCTTAGACTATGAGTTCTATCGAATTATGCAATAAAAACTTTTTGTGATATAAGCCCATTCAACTTATTCATTCGAAGATTTTTTTGTGCCACACTGTGTTGGATGAAAAAAAAATTGTACAGGTCAATGAGACCTTCCATTTGAGGTATTACAAAAGAGGTAGTGCAATTTGAAATTTTGAAGTTGGGGTGTGTCGCCACTGAGGGGTGACTCGTGTCTTCACTGAAATATGATCCTAACTCTTTAGCCTTTGTGCCAAATGGCGTTTTTCTGACTTTTTCATTACGCGAGGTATTCGTATTGAGAGTTTTCGAATTCACACCCTATATAGAGTCGATGGCCCTGTACTTGATTACCGCAATTTTATTTTAACAGGAAGAAGTGAACATAATATGTGTGGATTGGAGCAATGGCGCTGCACTACCAAATTACGTGAAAGCCTCAGCGAACACGAGACTAATCGGAAAACAGTTGTCTCTCTTACTGAGTGGTCTTGTTGAGAAAAATGGGTTATCACTGAGGAAGACGCATTTGATTGGCTTCAGTCTTGGTGCTCACATAGCAGGATTCGCAGGAGCAGATTTAGGAAATCTGAGCAGAATAACAGGTATTAAAATGCATGATTCTTAACAATGAATACTGAGAGTTGGTTTCGAAGATAATTTCAATTCATTCGTCTCTATGAATGCTGTTCTCTTTATTTTCGACGCTTCATCTATAGTATCACTTCGGCAGCTGCATTTTGAAATACCTTTTATATTCTGAAAAAGCCAAAAATCGAGTTTTGTGTTCAATTATTTCCGATTGAAAAGGTAGAAGGGCCAAAATTCATTTACTGAGGTAACTCCTTTTTTAACAGCTAACAAAAGCTAACAAATCTGAAACATTTAGTGAGACACTCATTATCAATGGTCTGCGTGTTGTCAGTATTGTGAAATTTTGCCCTATTTGTTCACGAGTGTTATGAAACAAGTCAAAGTCATTGTCTCGATTCTATATTCAGTGGAAATATCGAAATATAGTTGAATCATTCAATATTGATAACATTTTCATACTGTTGCAACTATAAATTGTGAAAAATGTTTAGACAATTTTTTTTTCGTTTCAGGAAAGCATTTAGGTGCGTTGTTAGTATATTTTTCCAACTGTCAACAACTGGTTCATTATTTGGCATTACTATATCAATAGTTGTGCTTTTCTATTGCTTTTCTGAGAAGATGCCCCAAAGTAAGCGCATAAATATCAGATATTATACAACCCATATTTGTTTTAAAATAGTAATATGCGATTACGTCATTACTCCAATACCAGTGACGTAATAATTCTCATATGAATATAATGAGATATGGAGCTTCAAGAATTAGAATTCACGTGTTCCTGGATTTTTTTTCCAAAAGTCGCCTATTTTTATGAAATAATAAATGTATCCCATACATTTACATCATATACTATTTATGAATGCATTGAAAATACTGTACCATCTTCCACATAATATTTCAACAAATCAACTGTATTGTTTTGTAATGTCACTTCGTGAGTCATTTCATATCATCAACGAAACGCTTGAATCGAATTTCATATCGATAAGGAATTTCCAAATTCATGATCATCATACTAGACAATATGACTTGTTTCATCATACAAATTCTACAATTGGCCAAGCAAGTTCACAAATGAGGCATACTCTGAATTCAATAATCACCAGATGATATTTGAAACTGTACGGATATTATATAATTCTAAAGTAAAGTCAAGAAAGATATGATCAAAGCTAACCTACTTACTTTATTCCATGGTTATTCTTTTCTGTCTCTCTTTTTTTTCTCGGTCCATACAGGTTCCGTTAGATCATATTGATATGTAACTTTTTTTTATTTCGCTATTCATAAAAGTGATTAAACATAGTGAATAATTCTTGAATTATCTGATACCAATTATTACTGATGTCTGATATATTTATATATCATTACTTTTTGAAGAATCGTGAACTTTATATGCATGTATAATGTTATATGAAATAGTTATTCATGCAATAAGTGCAAAAAGTGAATGTTTATTGCATTCGACGTGAAATTGTCCGACGAGGCCGTTAGGCCGAGTTGGACAACACGTCGAGTGCAATAAACAATTTTTGCACGAGTTGCATACAACATTTTTTCTACGTTCATGCAAAAAGCAAAAAATGATTTATTGAGGTGCGGCACTAGGTACAATTCTGTTAATTGTCAGAATTAATTTTTGACTGACGTTTCTATAACCACAGTTGCATTATAGAAAATGTTTGTCATGATGACAGCACGTTGAAGTAGAATGACAGATGAGTGCAATAAAAACTTTATTGCACTAAGTGCAATAAAGAACTTCTTTTTCCACTAAATATAGTTCAATAAAGTTATGTTTTTTGCATGAATGTAGAAAAATAATATTATTCTGAAAAATGCGTAATGCATTAACTGATAAAATAAAGGAATAATACATTGTATTAGCACTTCTGAGAGGTCAAAATTGTTTGCACACTATTGTTTTATTCATATACTTACCTTTCGCGGCTATGCCTGAAACCTGAATTGTCAAGTTATTTTTGATGCAACAAAATGATATCCTAAGATATTTCAAGTCAAAAATCTAGAACATGACAGAAAAATGCCTATTGTTTCGCTGCAGGTTTGGATCCGGCTGGACCCCTCTTCGAGTCGCAAGATCCCAGGGCCAGACTCGATCAGGCCGACGCCGATTTTGTAGACGTGATCCACAGTAACGGCGAGAATCTGATCCTAGGTGGTTTGGGATCGTCCCAGCCCATGGGACACGTGGACTTTTATCCCAACGGCGGCAGGATGCAGAAAGGATGCAGTCATTTGTTCGTTGGAGCTGTCAGTGACATAATCTGGTGTGAGTATTCGAGATTTTTCATGTTTTTTGGTGGGCACTTATATGAATCGGAGGTACCTACGTATTGTAATGATATTTCCCTAAGAGGGGCTCTAAAAACATTATCAGAAAAACAGGAGTACAACGACCATCCTGTAACACGCATCCCAGATTGTTCTCCAACATCCCACCTCTACCAGCATGTTTCGGAACACTCAATATATGCCGCGGTGACAAATAACTTCTAGAACAAGAAGAAGGGTACGAAAAATCATTCGAGAACGTTCGAGAAACAAATCCTACCAAGGTATCTCATTATAAGACGGTCGAACAACTGCAGGCGGGCAGTCAAGCAGCGAATGTCAGAGAGACAGTCATATACCGCGTGATATGAATTGTTTTACATAAATAGTAGTTATAAGTTCGATATACAGGGTGTCCCTAGACCAGTGGGACAGTTAAATATCTTCTGAACCAATAGGAATTTTCAAAATATTATAATTTCACATCATATCGCATTATGAGTGCTAACTTCAGGAATGACTATATTTTATACGAGGGGCGCAAGAAAGGCTCACAAAATCGAACATCAATTTTTTCAAATGGAACACCCTGTATTCCATTGCATTTTCATATTCTCCTTGAAGAGCTGAGTTCAACGACCTAGCAACTTGGGAGAAGGATTTCCGAGATATAGGGTGTGGAAAATCGTGATTTTTCATTTTTGGGAATTTTTTGTGTCGAAACTATTCATCATTGGTCAAAACGGCTTACATGTCCATATCTTAACTTCTGATTTACTTTTCAATCGTAGTTAATTGAAACAAATACAGGGTGGTGTAGAATTCTGACTGAAACTGTTAATTCTACACCACCCTGTATTTGTTTCAATTAAATACGAGTGAATAGTAAATCAAAAGTTAAGATACGGACATGTGAGCCGTTTTGACCAATGATGAATAGTTTCGACACAGAAAATTCCCAAAAATGAAAAATCGCGATTTTCCACACCCTATATCTCGGAAATCATTCTTGCTAGACCCCAAGTGTGCTAGGTCGTTGAACTCAGCTCTTCAAGGAGAATATGAAAATGCAATAGAATACAGGGTGTTCCATTTGAAAAAATTGATGTTCGATTTTGTGAGCCTTTCTTGCGCCCCTCGTATAAAATATAGTCATTCCTGAAGTTAGCACTCATAATGCGATATGATGTGAAATTATAATATTTTGAAAATTCCTATTGGTTCAGAAGATATTTAACTGTCCCACTGGTCTAGGGACACCCTGTATATTAGTGTTTCTTTAGTTCAAATAAATCAGTTCGAAAATATATAGTGTCTTGTTCGCTTCTGCACCCGAATAACGTAACAGTATCAAAGATTGTAACTCAACAGGATGGTTCATTCCTTATACAGCAATATATCGAACTGACTTGACACACAAGACTCGAACGTATAATGTCAATGATTGACAATGACAGATTGACAAGTATCTCGTATTTCATTTCTGTCGATATTCGACGTTTGATCTTTTTTTCTGTTCTCCTTGAATGCTGTCACCAGCTACCGCATCCTGGGCTTTTTGTGCATTTCAGTTTGTTTTCACAACACCCATTCCGTAGCTCCCTAGCAAAAAATTTTGGTCGGCCTTATACTGGTCCATAATATGCTGGCCAGAATTGGCCAGAACGGCCAAATTCCTGTGAACATTGATGGGCCAGTATACCAATAGGATACTCTGGCCGTCATCCGGGCCAATACATGTCTGCCGATACATTCAATGAAAATAAAAAGACGCCGCCAAGGGATTCGAAACCCGGTCCTCCGTTATCACTTGGTAACAAATGGAACTTATATACCAACTGAGCCACTACACTTTTGTTGAATTGATATGTGTGTACGGAATTTGTTTATACAGGGTGTATCTGAATAACGCCGAGGGGTGATTCCTTGTGATATTTTAGCAAATAAAGTTGATATAAACATGTATCCTAACTCGCTCCGTTTTTGAGATACAGGATGTTGAAGTTGGAAGTATTCATTGTTTTTATTTCTAACCCCCCTGTATGAGCTTCCATGGTGCCAAAATTCAGTATGATTATTGGCATACCAGAAGAATTTCAATTCATACAAGAGTTTTATTGATAACAGTTTTACATTTATACAGGGTGTTCCGAAATTAGCCTGCCAAACTTCACCAGCGGCTTCTACGGTCAAAAATAGGAAGAAAAGTTTCAATGAACATGAGTTGAGATGTGTCTCCTATAAGGGAGTTACGCCCCCCTGAAAGAGTGCTCCTGAAGATGATATTCCTTGAGTATTTCCGAAATTCCATGCGATTGAAAGATATATTATGGTAAAAGAACTAAACTTCTGAACTACTTAATATAGTCCCATGCACCCTGTATTATACACTCCTGAGTCGAATTTTGAAATGATTTTATTTTCTATGCATTGGGGATGGCCAGTTTAGTTCTTGAACCAAATTGCATCATTTTATCACGTGGCGTTTCGAAAATGTTTAAGAAATATCATCTTCAGAAGCCCCTTTCAAGGGGGCCGTAGCTCCCTTAGGAGACATATTTCAACTTATGTTCATTAGAACGCTGGGGAAGTTTGGCAGGCTGATTTCGGAACACCCTGTATAGTGTTTCCTTCATTATTATGGATTCCGATAAGAATCGAAAACTGATCAGATAACTTTATTAGCCTATTTCAATAGGAGAACTTCAGTTGTATAGACCGGAATATATAATTATCTGCTATTTCATTATAATTTTGTTACATTTCATTGTCTTCTTCAATTCGTTATTCGTTTTTTAATAAATAAGCCTAGAATTGATTTTTTCTATTATGCATGTTATATAGATTCTCTCTCGGGTTCTGTTCTCATAATTGTTACTATATAGGTGAATATTTGAGTGATAAGTAATTACAAAATATCTTATTGTGCTAACTCGCTAAGTCATCGTTGAAAAATAACATATTATGATTTACAAACGAAATTAATTCGTTGACATTTTCTCTAAAATTTTGTTTGATTTCCGAATCGAATTTTTTTTATCGCTTGGATCGCACGAAAGGGAATCCCTATAATGTTCAAAGAACATCGTGCGTTCCTGGGGAGGATAGGGATAGGAGGTAGGTATGGGAATTTTTGTTGAACTTCTGGAAATTATATGTTGTTGGGAATACTTCCTCAGGCAATGAATTCCAGAGCCTAGCCGTTCTATGTATGGAGGAGTTTTGATAAAGTGCTGTTCGACATCTTTCGAGGTTGACAACGAGAGGATGTGCTGACTGGGCTTGTCTAGTTAGTCTGACTGGTATTGCTAGTGAAGGGATGATAGCAGAGATTTCCGAAGAACATTTCCCGTGGAAGTATCTATAGAAAAGTGAAAGGTCGCCGACCTTTCTACGTTGTTCCAATGATGTCAAAGAGTGACTGAGTGTGGCGTCACCCACCAGGCGGATGGCTCTTCTCTGGATGGAATCTAAGAGCATCAGCGTATGTTTTGGTGCTGAACCTCATATGTGGGAACAGTATTCTAGAACAGGCCGTATCTGCGCTTTGTAGATCATGAGGAGCTGTTGAGGTGTAAAATAGCTTTTCGCACGGAACAAGAATCCTAGTTTTTGTGAAGCAGCTTTTGCGATGGATCTGACATGATTATCCCATGAAAGAGTGTTGCTGATGGAAATACCGAGCATAGATATGGTGGGCTTGGTGGGGATGGTGGTGCCAGACATTACAATATCGGGCATACTGAGTTCCGCCTTTCTAGAGAAAATACAGGCTTGAGTTTTGGTGGCGTTGAATCCAACTAGGTTGTTAGTTCCCCAGGCTGTCATTTCAGCAAGGTCTTCATTGACAGCATTGACCTGCCTGCGCCGTGAGTTCTTAGTTTCCTGGGAAGAAATAGGAATTCTGGAAGAGAACGCAGTATGGAGGGTACTATCATCTGCAAAGCTGTGGATGGGGCAAGTTGTTACTCCCAACAGATCATTGAGAGATGGCATAGCTGAGGTGGTAAGCCGTATAATGGTAGTTTGGTGGAGGAGTCCTTCATGCCAAACACGGTCAAATGCTTTCGATATGTCCAACGCGACAGCTAGAGTTTGCCCGTGTTTTTCTAATGAAGCTTGCCATAAATGGGTGACGTAGGCAAGTAGATTTCCAGTAGATCTTCGGTGGCGAAAGCCGTATTGTCTATCATTGATGATTCCCGAGCTCTCCAGATATTTGATAAGCTCAATATTGATGGCTTTCTCCATCACTTTGGAGATTACTGATAACAGGGCAATGGGCCTGTAGTTGTTGGGCAGGTTCTTGTTCCCTTTCTTGGGGATTGGTTGGACTCTGTCTTCCAGCATGATGGAAAAATACTCGACCTGTACGAGGCGGTAAACAACTTGCAGAGAATCGGTGTTAATTCTGGCGCACATTTCTTGAGGTTAATGGGTGAAATTCCATCAGGACCGTTAGCCTTATTCGTTTTGAGACCAAGCAAAATTCGTCTGATATTGCGTTGACGGAAGACGATTTCGGGCATTCGACTCTCAACGGGTGGAATGTCTGGCGGCTTCCTTGGGAATCTAAAGTAGAGTTGCTGCGAGAATCTTTGCAAAAATATTTGCTTTCTCCTGCGATGTTGTTGCTAATGTGCCGTCGGATTTGGACAGTGGTGGAAATGAACTATTAGTGAAATTTCTTCCGACCGCTTTAGCAAGTGACCAAAACGAACTGGAGCCATTGGGACAAACTATGAGTTTCGATCTTATCTTGGCATTGTATGTTTCTTTCGAAGCATCTATTTTTTGGCTGCAGTTATTTCTGGCATCAACGTTTTCTGCTCTAGTCGCGAGGTTAGGGTTTTTGCGCCAGCGATGATAGATAGATAGATAATTTATTGATCTTTTAGGTGTACATGTGATACAAATAAGACAAGTCAAGCTTCGAAAAAAATGAGGTACAGATAAAAATCTTAAGTATTAGAAACATATTGAAAAAGTTGCACAAAT